ATCGCACTTGGCAGCCTCGTCGTCATCAGGCTATTGCTTCCGCATCATCATCAGGAGAAGAGGGTGCCAGCTTGGCAGCGAGCAAAACAGTCGGTGGGTTGCCCATAGGCAGCAGGGTCGCAGCAGTGTCAGTGGAGGCAAACGGCCACGGAGTAGAGCACCAGCTCCACTGCAGCCTACCACCACGGCCAGTAGTGGTGCCGGTGTGCACGGAGGAGCTGTAGCAGTCAGCCCTCCCAGTGAGGAGTAGCGGGGGCAAAGTTTCCTACTCGGCGGTGTGGCAATTTTTCGTCAAGAGCCGCCCGAGGAAGTAAACGTAGCCGTATGTCGACTATGTGGCCAGAAAGTCAAGCTGGCCAGGGGGCCCATGTTGGGACTACAGCGTTGCGTCAGCATATGCAGCGTCGCCATTTGGTGGCCTGGGAAAACCGTGATAAAGATACGGCGGTTCTGCCTGCCCCAGCCCCCGCTCCATCACCCGCTCCGTTACTTGCTCCGTCACCCGACGTCAATCGCCCTCTATCAGCCAGTCAAGGCTCCAACACCTCTGCTGAGGGGAGTTGTCGCTCGTTGGCATCTTCGCCGTTCAGATGCTCCTTCTCCTGCTACTCCTCTTCACGGATTCCGTCAGCACTCTTTCTTGGAATCCGTTTCCAAGAGAGACAACAGTTTGCGAGCACGCACCCGACGGTGCAGAAAGCTGAACGTCCTCCTGTCCAAGTTGCTGGTGCTGCAGTCCCTCCCCTTTCCAAGTGGTGGACTCAGCACCTTTCCGAGAAATGATGGCTTGTGCCGCGCCGCGGTGGAGAGTGCCAAGCCGGCATTTCTTCGCCAAAAAGGCAGTGCCAGCCCTGCATTCACATGTAGAAGGGAGATGATTGGGCCAGTCTTTGAGCATGTCGGTCCTCTAAAAGTGCACGGCAGCGCCGACGTGTGGAGCTGTAACTACGGTCAGGGACAGTACATGTCATTTACGGCCCACTGGGTGAACGTGGTGCCGGCACAGCCGCACCAGCAACTTGGACAGGTCACGCCGCTTTTGCCTCCACGTTTGCACGTCCTTGGTCCAGCAAAGATGTCCGCCTCTACCACCTCTTCTTCCGCCGTGTCCTCAGCCGCCACCCCCGTGCCAAGTCCCATTACCCGACCGGCATATCACATGTGCAGGGCGCAACGGTGTCACGCTGTGCTGCACCTGGTATGCCTTGGCGAACGTAGTCACACAGGGGAGGAACTTCTGAGTGTAATGAACAGAGAAATCGACAGATGGCTGTCTCCGCACAAACTGAAAATCGGAACCATGTTGACCGACAACGGAAAGAACATGGTGTCTGCTCTGCGTCAAGGAAGGTTGTGCCATGCGCCATGCATGGCTCACGTGTTCAATCTGGTTGTCAAGCGGTTCCTAAAATCCACCATCCCACTGCAAGACATCCTTAAAATGTCACGTAAACTTTGCATGCATTTCAGCCATTCCTACACCGCAAAGCACACCCTCCTTGAGCTGCAGCAGGCAGAACGGAATTCCACAGCATCGCCTGATCTGCGACGTTGCAACAAGGGTGGAATTCAACCCTACATGTTAGACCGCCTTTACGAACAGCGAAAGGCCATCACCGATTTCCTGATGTTACAAGCGGAATAAAGGTACTCCCCTGTGTAACTTAGATGTCAGCCATTGGCAGCTCATGCGTGACACCTGCCGCTTGCTCAGGCCCTTTGAGGAGGCCACGCTATTCGTGAGTCGGCAGGACTATGGGATGAACGACGTCATTCCTCTGTTGCACGTCCTGGAACAAATGCTGTTAACAATGGCTGGTCAGGGTGCGGTAGACGTGGCGCACAGATCTCAACGCCACATGACCCCTGTGGGGGCAGGACAGGAAGAAGAGGAGGAGGTAGAGGAGGACATTGGTGCTCAGGAATTATTGAGTGAAATGGGTGGTTTTTCCACTCAGCGGACAGGAGTGGAGGAGCAGGAGCATCTGGTAGAGGAGGAGGAGGAGGAGACAGAGGACCCAGACGCACCGTGGCAGTATGCTGTGGAGATGGAGGCAGGGAGTCCCTCGCATTCCTTGGCACAAATGGCCCATAGCATGCTCGGTTGCTTGCGTAGCGACAGCCGAATAATAACCATCAGACAGAGGGATGACTTTTGGCTGTCCACCTTGTTGGACCCTCGCTACCGTTCAAAAATGGTGGCCTTTTTCACACCTGCTGAGAGGGAGGCCAAAATAACGTACTATAAAAACCACCTATGTAGTCAGTTGGTCTCTGCCTTTGTGCGCCAACGTCCATCCTCAGACACTGTGGGCCCTGTGCGCTCGCGTTCCGCTGCCATGGCAGCAGGGGAGGGGTGGGGTGGTAGGAGCAGTGGCAGCTCCACCAGCAGCGGCTGCCTCAGTCTGCAGTCGATGATGAGTAGCTTTCTTCACCAGCGCAGTGAGGAAAACTACTAACCAGCCGCAGCAGCAGCAGCATCAGGTGGACCTGGAGCAGGAGCTCAAACAACAGGCTTGGGCCTACTTGGACAGCACCCTGCCAACCGAGGTAGACAATCCCCTTGACTACTGGGCAACGAAACTTGACCTTTGGCCCCAACTAGCTGAATTTGCCCTTGAAAGGCTGTCATGCCCGGCCAGTAGCGTGGCATCGGAGCGCGTGTTTAGTGCGGCAGGAGGTATTGTAACTCCGCGGAGGACACGACTGTCCACCCAAAGTGTGGAGAGACTCACGTTTGTGAAAATGAATCAGGCGTGGATTAGTCTGGATTTCAAACCACCAGTTCCTGACACAACTGACTAAATCCGCCATGAATCATGCCCCAAACATGTTTTGTCATAGGGTGCTGGCAGATTACGGGCCTCCCATTGCTGCTGCCAGGCCCGTAATCTGCCATGGGCCCCTGTACCGCCTCCTCATGCTGCTGCCAGGTCCACAGTGTGTCATGGGTCCCTGTACGGCCTCCCATTGCTGCTGTCTCCATCGCCACACTCTGCCATGTGCCACTTTCAGGTCTCCTCACACTGCTGCTGGGTTCCATTTTGTCATAGGGTGCTGGCAGATTACGGGCCTCCCATTGCTGCTGCCAGGCCCGTAATCTGCCATGGGCCCCTGTACCGCCTCCTCATGCTGCTGCCAGGTCCACAGTGTGTCATGGGTCCCTGTACGGCCTCCCATTGCTGCTGTCTCCATCGCCACACTCTGCCATGTGCCACTTTCAGGTCTCCTCACACTGCTGGTGGGTTCCATTTTGTCATAGGGTGCTGGCAGATTACGGGCCTCCCCCATTGCTGCTGCCAGGCCCCTAATCTGCCATGGGCCCCTGTACCGCCTCCTCATGCTGCTGCCAGGTCCACAGTGTGTCATGGGTCCCTGTACGGCCTCCCATTGCTGCTGTCTCCATCGCCACACTCTGCCATGTGCCACTTTCAGGTCTCCTCACACTGCTGCTGGGTTCCATTTTGTCATAGGGTGCTGGCAGATTACGGGCCTCCCATTGCTGCTGCCAGGCCCCTAATCTGCCATGGGCCCCTGTACCGCCTCCTCCTCATGCTGCTGCCAGGTCCACAGTGTGTCATGGGTCCCTGTACGGCCTCCCATTGCTGCTGTCTCCATCGCCACACTCTGCCATGTGCCACTTTCAGGTCTCCTCACACTGCTGCTGGGTTCCATTTTGTCATAGGGTGCTGGCAGATTACGGGCCTCCCATTGCTGCTGCCAGGCCCCTAATCTGCCATGGGCCCCTGTACTGTACCGCCTCCTCATGCTGCTGCCAGGTCCACAGTGTGTCATGGGTCCCTGTACGGCCTCCCATTGCTGCTGTCTCCATCGCCACACTCTGCCATGTGCCACTTTCAGGTCTCCTCACACTGCTGCTGGGTTCCATTTTGTCATAGGGTGCTGGCAGATTACGGGCCTCCCATTGCTGCTGCCAGGCCCCTAATCTGCCATGGGCCCCTGTACCGCCTCCTCATGCTGCTGCCAGGTCCACAGTGTGTCATGGGTCCCTGTACGGCCTCCCATTGCTGCTGTCTCCATCGCCACACTCTGCCATGTGCCACTTTCAGGTCTCCTCACACTGCTGCTGGGTTTCCATTTTGTCATAGGGTGCTGGCAGATTACGGGCCTCCCATTGCTGCTGCCAGGCCCCTAATCTGCCATGGGCCCCTGTACCGCCTCCTCATGCTGCTGCCAGGTCCACAGTGTGTCATGGGGTCCCTGTACGGCCTCCCATTGCTGCTGTCTCCATCGCCACACTCTGCCATGTGCCACTTTCAGGTCTCCTCACATGCTGGGTTCCATTTTGTCATAGGGTGCTGGCAGATTACGGGCCTCCCATTGCTGCTGCCAGGCCCCTAATCTGCCATGGGCCCCTGTACCGCCTCCTCATGCTGCTGCCAGGTCCACAGTGTGTCATGGGTCCCTGTACGGCCTCCCATTGCTGCTGTCTCCATCGCCACACTCTGCCATGTGCCACTTTCAGGTCTCCTCACACTGCTGCTGGGTTCCATTTTGTCATAGGGTGCTGGCAGATTACGGGCCTCTCCCATTGCTGCTGCCAGGCCCCTAATCTGCCATGGGCCCCTGTACCGCCTCCTCATGCTGCTGCCAGGTCCACAGTGTGTCATGGGTCCCTGTACGGCCTCCCATTGCTGCTGTCTCCATCGCCACACTCTGCCATGTGCCACTTTCAGGTCTCCTCACACTGCTGGTGGGTTCCATTTTGTCATAGGGTGCTGGCAGATTACGGGCCTCCCATTGCTGCTGCCAGGCCCCCCGTAATCTGCCATGGGCCCCTGTACCGCCTCCTCATGCTGCTGCCAGGTCCACAGTGTGTCATGGGTCCCTGTACGGCCTCCCATTGCTGCTGTCTCCATCGCCACACTCTGCCATGTGCCACTTTCAGGTCTCCTCACACTGCTGCTGGGTTCCATTTTGTCATAGGGTGCTGGCAGATTACGGGCCTCCCATTGCTGCTGCCAGGCCCGTAATCTGCCATGGGCCCCTGTACCGCCTCCTCATGCTGCTGCCAGGTCCACAGTGTGTCATGGGTCCCTGTACGGCCTCCCATTGCTGCTGTCTCCATCGCCACACTCTGCCATGTGCCACTTTCAGGTCTCCTCACACTGCTGGTGGGTTCCATTTTGTCATAGGGTGCTGGCAGATTACGGGCCTCCCATTGCTGCTGCCAGGCCCGTAATCTGCCATGGGCCCCTGTACCGCCTCCTCATGCTGCTGCCAGGTCCACAGTGTGTCATGGGTCCCTGTACGGCCTCCCCTTGCTGCTGCTGTCCCCATCGCCACACTCTGCCATGTGCCACTTTCAGGTCCTCACACTGCTGCTGGGTTCCATTTTGTCATAGGGTGCTGGCAGATTACGGGCCTCCCATTGCTGCTGCCCAGGCCCCCTAATCTGCCATGGGCCCCTGTACCGCCTCCTCATGCTGCTGCCAGGTCCACAGTGTGTCATGGGTCCCTGTACGGCCTCCCATTGCTGCTGTCTCCATCGCCACACTCTGCCATGTGCCACTTTCAGGTCTCCTCACACTGCTGCTGGGTTCCATTTTGTCATAGGGTGCTGGCAGATTACGGGCCTCCCATTTGCTGCTGCCAGGCCCCTAATCTGCTCTGCCATGGGCCCCCTGTACCGCCTCCTCATGCTGCTGCCAGGTCCACAGTGTGTCATGGGTCCCTGTACGGCCCTCCCATTGCTGCTGTCTCCATCGCCACACTCTGCCATGTGCCACTTTCAGGTCTCCTCACACTGCTGCTGGGTTCCATTTTGTCATAGGGTGCTGCAGATTACGGGCCTCCCATTGCTGCTGCCAGGCCCCTAATCTGCCATGGGCCCCTGTACCGCCTCCTCATGCTGCTGCCAGGTCCACAGTGTGTCATGGGTCCCTGTACGGCCTCCCATTGCTGCTGTCTCCATCGCCACACTCTGCCATGTGCCACTTTCAGGTCTCCTCACACTGCTGCTGGGTTCCATTTTGTCATAGGGTGCTGGCAGATTACGGGCCTCCCATTGCTGCTGCCAGGCCCGTAATCTGCCATGGGCCCCTGTACCGCCTCCTCATGCTGCTGCCAGGTCCACAGTGTGTCATGGGTCCCTGTACGGCCTCCCATTGCTGCTGTCTCCATCGCCACACTCTGCCATGTGCCACCACTTTCAGGTCTCCTCACACTGCTGCTGGGTTCCATTTTGTCATAGGGTGCTGGCAGATTACGGGCCTCCCATTGCTGCTGCCAGGCCCCTAATCTGCCATGGGCCCCTGTACCGCCTCCTCATGCTGCTGCAGGTCCACAGTGTGTCATGGGTCCCTGTACGGCCTCCCATTGCTGCTGTCTCCATCGCCACACTCTGCCATGTGCCACTTTCAGGTCTCCTCACACTGCTGCTGGGTTCCATTTTGTCATAGGGTGCTGGCAGATTACGGGCCTCCCATTGCTGCTGCCAGGCCCCTAATCTGCCATGGGCCCCTGTACCGCCTCCTCATGCTGCTGCCAGGTCCACAGTGTGTCATGGGGTCCCTGTACGGCCTCCCATTGCTGCTGTCTCCATCGCCACACTCTGCCATGTGCCACTTTCAGGTCTCCTCACACTGCTGCTGGGTTCCATTTTGTCATAGGGTGCTGGCAGATTACGGGCCTCCCATTGCTGCTGCCAGGCCCGTAATCTCTGCCATGGGCCCCTGTACCGCCTCCTCATGCTGCTGCCAGGTCCAGAGTGTGTCATGGGTCCCTGTACGGCCTCCCATTGCTGCTGTCTCCATCGCCACACTCTGCCATGTGCCACTTTCAGGTCTCTCCTCACACTGCTGGTGGGTTCCATTTTGTGTCATTAGGGTGCTGCTGGCAGATTACGGGCCTCCCATTGCTGCTGCCAGGCCCCTAATCTGCCATGGGCCCCTGTACCGCCTCCTCATGCTGCTGCCAGGTCCACAGTGTGTCATGGGTCCCTGTACGGCCTCCCATTGCTGCTGTCTCCATCGCCACACTCTGCCATGTGCCACTTTCAGGTCTCCTCACACTGCTGGTGGGTTCCATTTTGTCATAGGGTGCTGGCAGATTACGGGCCTCCCATTGCTGCTGCCAGGCCCGTAATCTGCCATGGGCCCCTGTACCGCCTCCTCATGCTGCTGCCAGGTCCACAGTGTGTCATGGGTCCCTGTACGGCCTCCCATTGCTGCTGTCTCCATCGCCACACTCTGCCATGTGCCACTTTCAGGTCTCCTCACACTGCTGCTGGGTTCCATTTTGTCATAGGGTGCTGGCAGATTACGGGCCTCCCATTGCTGCTGCTGCCAGGCCCCTAATCTGCCATGGGCCCCTGTACCGCCTCCTCATGCTGCTGCCAGGTCCACAGTGTGTCATGGGTCCCTGTACGGCCTCCCATTGCTGCTGTCTCCATCGCCACACTCTGCCATGTGCCACTTTCAGGTCTCCTCACACTGCTGCTGGGTTCCATTTTGTCATAGGGTGCTGGCAGATTACGGGCCTCCCATTGCTGCTGCCAGGCCCCTAATCTGCCATGGGCCCCTGTACCGCCTCCTCATGCTGCTGCCAGGTCCACAGTGTGTCATGGGTCCCTGTACGGCCTCCCATTGCTGCTGTCTCCATCGCCACACTCTGCCATGTGCCACTTTCAGGTCTCCTCACACTGCTGCTGGGTTCCATTTTGTCATAGGGTGCTGGCAGATTACGGGCCTCCCATTGCTGCTGCCAGGCCCGTAATCTGCCATGGGCCCCTGTACCGCCTCCTCATGCTGCTGCCAGGTCCAGAGTGTGTGTGTCATGGGTCCCTGTACGGCCTCCCATTGCTGCTGTCTCCATCGCCACACTCTGCCATGTGCCACTTTCAGGTCTCCTCACACTGCTGCTGGGTTCCATTTTGTCATAGGGTGCTGGCAGATTTACGGGCCTCCCATTGCTGCTGCCAGGCCCGTAATCTGCCATGGGCCCCTGTACCGCCTCCTCATGCTGCTGCCAGGTCCACAGTGTGTCATGGGTCCCTGTACGGCCTCCCATTGCTGCTGTCTCCATCGCCACACTCTGCCATGTGCCACTTTCAGGTCTCCTCACACTGCTGCTGGGTTCCATTTTGTCATAGGGTGCTGGCAGATTACGGGCCTCCCATTGCTGCTGCCAGGCCCCTAATCTGCCATGGGCCCCTGTGTACCGCCTCCTCATGCTGCTGCCAGGTCCACAGTGTGTCATGGGTCCCTGTACGGCCTCCCATTGCTGCTGTCTCCATCGCCACACTCTGCCATGTGCCACTTTCAGGTCTCCTCACACTGCTGCTGGGTTCCATTTTGTCATAGGGTGCTGTATGGCCTCCCATTGCTGCTGCCAGGCCCGTAATCTGCCATGGGCCCCCGTACGAATCGAATTTTTGAATAATTCGCTCATCTCTAGTTATTTTCACCAAAGACATGTAGAAAAATACATCTTGGCATAAATTTATGAAGAACAATTATTTATTTGTAAACGTTTATAACAGAAGCAAAGAAAAATGTGTTTTTTTTCAAAATTTTTGGTCTTTTTTCGTTAATTTAGCAAAAAATAAAAAAACCCCAGCAGTGATTAAATACCACCAAAAGAAAGCTCTAGTTGTGTGAAGAAAATGATAAAATGTTAGTTTGGGTACAATGTTGTATGACCGCGCAATTGTCATTCAAAGTGTGAGAGCGCTGAAACGTGAAAAATGGCCTGGGCAGGAAGGGGGAAAATTGCCCGGTATTGAAATGGATAAATCAGGTGGGTCGGTCCATGAGGGACTGGTATGAAGGGGTTTTTTGTAAAATGAGTCCAGCAGGCCCAGATGTGGGACAATTTAGTGGAGGAGTCAAGTGCAGTTGCAATCAGTTCCTCCATTTCCACAATTTTACTCACCCGGGTCAGCCAGTCACGTATGGAGGGAGGGCGAGTGGAGCCCCAAAGAGCTGGAAGACAGAGTCTGGCTGCGTTGACCATATGCATGGCTAGGGATTTGAAGTCTTGTCCCCTGGGAAGGGGGGAATGATGGAGAAGAAACTGGGCAGGAGACAGAGCTAGGGGCAAGGTGGTTACAGACACTACAAGCCTGTGGACCTCCTGCCAGAATGGTTGGATACTCGGACAGGACCACCAAATGTGGAGAAAGGACCCATCTGATGTTCCACATCTCCAACAGCTATTGGGGAAAGCTGGGTTAAAATGAGAGATTCTCAACGGGGTTCGGTACCATCTCAAAGCCAATTTGTAGCCGTTTTCCTGAGTCGAGACATTAGGGAGCACTTATGGGCATGCATGAATATTTGGTCCCAGTCGGAGTCCGACAGACTGTCTTCCAGGTCTCTGTTCCATGGACGGCAGGAGGGTAAGGAGTCATAAGCCCTGCTCTCAACGAGGAGGGGTTAAATCTCTCCGAAATCAAATATTTGTGTGGTTTCAGCTTTAGAGCATAGAGATTCAGAAGGAGTGAGGGGACGAGAGTCCAGTCAAGAAACGGTTTGTGTGAGAGCAGAAAGTGTCTTATCTGCAGATAGGCCCAGAAAGGAAAATCTCGGATATTCAGGCTCTCAAGCACCTTGTTTTAGCAGTCAGCAGCAGAGAGGACAGAACTCCTCCACCAGATCCTGCACTTCTTTGGGCAGCTGTGGAGAGGCTCATCTCTGCTACTCCCCGTCCCAGCAGTCGGCAGCAGAGAGGAAGACAGAACTCCTCCACCAGATCCTGCACTTCTTTGTGCAGCTGTGGAGAGGCTCATCTCTGCTACTCCCCGTCCCAGCAGTCGGCAGCAGAGAGAGGAGGACAGAACTCCTCCACCAGATCCTGCACTTCTTTGTGCAACTGTGGAGAGAGGCTCATCTCTGCTACTCCCCCGTCCCAGCAGTCGGCAGCAGAGAGGACAGAACTCCTCCACCAGATCCTGCACTTCTTTGTGCAGCTGTGGAGAGGCTCATCTCTGCTACTCCTCATCCCAGCAGTCAGTGGCAGAGAGGAGGACAGAACTCCTCCACCAGATCCTGCACTTCTTTGTGCAGCTGTGGAGAGGCTCATCTCTGCTACTCCCCCGTCCCAGCAGTCGGCAGCAGAGAGGACAGAACTCCTCCACCACCAGATCCTGCACTTCTTTGTGCAGCTGTGGAGAGGCTCATCTCTGCTACTCCCCGTCCCAGCAGTTGGCAGCAGAGAGGAGGACAGAACTCCTCCACCAGATCCTGCACTTCTATGTGCAGCTGTGGAGAGGCTCATCTCTGCTACTCCTCATCCCAGCAGTTGGCAGCAGAGAGGACAGAACTCCTCCACCAGATCCTGCACTTCTTTGTGCAGCTGTGGAGAGGCTCATCTCTGCTACTCCTCATCCCAGCAATTGGCAGCAGAGAGGAGGACAGAACTCCTCCACCAGATCCTGCTCTTCTTTGTGCAGCTGTGGAGCTCATCTCTGCTACTCCTCATCCCAGCAGTCGGCGGCAGAGGACAGAACTCCTCCACCAATACTGTGCTTCTCTGTGCAGCTGAGGAGGCCCATCTCTGCTACTCCCTGTCCCAGCAGTCAGTAGCAGAGAGGAGGACAGCACTCCTCCACCAGATCCTGTGCTTCTGTTTCCAGCCACAGCACACCCCCATCTCTGTCTCCCCTGGCCTCAGCATCCAGACTCTGGCAGCTGATTCCAGTCCTCCTCCAGACCCTGCACTTTCTGCTTCCCAGCCCTTCCCCAGCTTCTTCCCAGCAGCAGCAGCACAATTGGAAATATTTTTCTGATGATTGAAAAAACACAACTTTGTTCCCAAAACTCATTTTCCATAAATTGTAGATAGTTGTAGCCGGGAATATCTGCTGCCATGATGTGTCCTAGACTTCTACTCTCAGAGCGAGTTTGACCTCTTACTAACCCAGTGATAATGGAATGCAGAGGGAAATGTTTCATATGAGAAAGAGAAGAGACATTTCTATCGTCTTCCAGACACAGCCGGCCCTTTGAGGGCCCCATATTGCTGGTGTGCCCACAGTGACAGAGTCTGACAGCCCTGCAGTAGATGGTCATAGGAAACCACTATATGAGATAAAATACAGACAATATCTCTCATGGCTGATCAAACACATTTCATATTTATTCCACTCATTTTATAAACATAGACCTCTAAGAATTTGTGAAAGATTACACCAAAAAATGTCTGACCCGGTCCCACACTTCATCCATGTCTTTGGGGACCTCTCATCTCCTTATGGACTGTTTCTTCCATGGTGAAGATCAGCCATGGAGTATATCTGAGGTGTATATCAGGGTGTGTTTCCACATGAGAGCTGGGATGTCCAGCAACATTCATCTAGAAGACATTTCCCGCACTCAAGGCACTAATACACCTCCAGGGTTGTGTGGGACCCCTGATGTACAGGAAGACAGGACTTCAGTGAGGAACATTTCCCTCACTCAGGACAGGAAAGTGGCTTCTCCCCTGTGTGAGATCTCTGATGTCTGTAAAGATGGGACGTCTGTGAAAAACATTTCCCGCACTCAGGACAGGAATACAACTTCTCCCCAGTGTGAGATCTCTGATGTTTATGAAGAATGGACTTCTTTGAAAAACATTTCCTGCACACAGGACAGGAATACGGCTTCTCCCCCGTGTGAGATCTCTGATGTGTGTGAAGACCAGACCTGTATGAAAAACATTTCCCACACTCAGGACAGGAATACGGCTTCTCCCCCGTGTGCAGTCTCTGATGTGTGTGAAGACTGGACTTTTGTGAAAAACATTTCCCGCACACAGGACAAAAAATACGGCTTCTCCCCCCCGTGTGAGATCTCTGATGATGTGTGAAGACTAGACTTATGTGAAAAAAACATTTCCCACACTCAGAACAGGAATACGGCTTCTCCCCAGTGTGAGATTTCTGATGTCTGTAAACATCAGACTTCAGTGAAAAAACATTTCCCACACTCAGGACAGGAAATAAGGCTTCTCCCCCGTGTGCAGTCTCTGATGATGTGTGTGAAGACTGGTCTTTTGTGAAAAACATTTCCCGCACACAGGACAGGAATAAGGCTTCTCCCCCGTGTGCAGTCTCTGATGTGTGTGAAGACTAGACTTATGAAAAAACATTTCCCGCACTCAGGACAGGAATACGGCTTCTCCACTTTGTGAGATCTCTGATGTGTGAGAAGACGGGACTTCACTGAAAAAACATTTCTCGCACTGTGGACAGGAATACGGATTCTCCCCTGTGTGAGATCTCTGATGTGTGTGAAAAGTAGACTTGTCTGAAAAACATTTCCCACACTCAGAACAGGCATACGGCTTCTCCCCCGTGTGACATCTCTGATGTCTGTAAAGATAGGACTTATCTGAAAAAATTTCCCGCACTCAGGACAGGAATACGGCTTCTCCCCCGTGTGAAATCTCTGATGTTTATGAAGAATGGACTTCTTTAAAAAAAACATTTCCCACACTCAGGACAGGAATACGGCTTCTCCCCCGTGTGAGATCTCTGATGTGTGTGAAGACTAAACTTGTCTGAAAAAAACATTTTCCGCACTCAGGACAGGAATATGGCTTCTCCCCCTGTGTGAGATCTCTGATGTGTGTAAAGATGAGACTTCTGTGAAAAATTTCCCGCACTCAGGACAGGAATACGGCTTCTCCCCCGTGTGAGATCTTCTGATGCACATTAAAGATGAGACATTTTAGATGAAAAACATTTCCCGCACTCAGGACAGGACAGGAATATGCTTCTCCCCCGTGTGAGATCTTTTATGCACATTAAGATTGTATTTAGATTGACAGAAACATTTCCCGCATTCAGGACAGGAATATGGCTTCTCCCCCGTGTGAGATCTTTTATGCACTTTTTTAAGTTTGGATTTAGAACAGAAACCCTTTCCGCACTCAGTACAGGAGAAGCTCTTCCCTGTTGGAAGGCCGGCCTGGTCCCGCACAGTCTGAGGTTCCTCAGGATACGAGGAATCCGATGGTCCATCTACACTGGGTGGTGCCGGATGGACATTGGAGGGAGCCGGGTTTTCTCCTGGACTATACTGTGTGATGTCCTCATCTTCTACTTTCCAGTCTGGAGACAAAAGTGAGACAATCCTCGGAGGTTTTCCTCATCTCCCGGCCATGGACTAAAATACAAAGACAAAGAGGATTACTAGACAGGAGCTGATTGGTTCCCCCAAACCAGGACTCCGCCCACATCAGGCAGCTTGGTCTCTGAGGAGCTTACAATTCCACCCTCAAGGGAACTAGGAAATGGCTCCTCTGATCTCCTACCAGGTCATTTCTTTATTCATGGACCTTAGTCAGAGAGTGAGGAAACAACCAGAACTGTCTTTTTTAGGAGGGACAGTGATGAGGGGATTATAGGACGAGGGTCCCCACCCCCTCTATCACTCATCGCCATCTTCCCAACACAAGAAGTACTGCACTTCCTTATTTAGTCCATGATTTAGTCATGAAGAACAGCGGGGCTGAGCCCCACCAGAGGTCAGAGAGTGAGGATGGGGGGAGAACAACCAACCAAGATGAAGACTGGACTGATCCTGAAGACCACCATCATTGGGGTATTGACTCCTCCCTCATTATCACTTTCTGTTTAAGGGTCCAAAGTTGGAGGATGTTATCACATTATTATCACCATGTAAAAGTCTGTGCTCCAATCACATCATCCGATATAAAATGTCCAGCTGGGAGGAAATGGGGGGAACAAAAGAGAATCCATATTATGTGTATATATAGCAGTGGGGGGAGGGGGGAGAGCAGAAGTCAGAAGTATGGAATGTACAACATAGAGTATATAGTGCAGGGGTCAGGAGTATGTAATGTACAACATGGAGAGTATATAGTGCAGGGGTCAGGAGTATGTAATGTACAACATAGAGTATATAGTGCAGGGGTCAGGAGTATGTAATGTACAACATAGAGTATATATAGTGCAGGGGTCAGGAGTATGTAATGTACAACATATAGAGTATATAGTGCAGGGGTCAGGAGTATGTAATGTACAACATAGAGTATATAGTGCAGGGGTCAGGAGTATGTAATGTACAACATAGAGTATATAGTGCAGGGGTCAGGAGTATGTAATGTACAACATAGAGTATATAGTGCAGGGGTCAGGAGTATGTAATGTACAACATAGAGTATATAGTGCAGGGGTCAGGAGTATGTAATGTACAACATAGATATATAGTGCAGGGGTCAGGAGTATGTAATGTACAACATAGAGTATATAGTGCAGGGGTCAGGAGTATGTAATGTACAGGAGAGTATATAGTGCAGGGGTCAGGAGTATGTAATGTACACATAGAGAATATAGTGCAGGGGTCAGGATATGTAATGTACAAATATAGTATATAGTGCAAGTCAGGAGTATGTAATGTACAACATAGAGTATATAGTGCAGGGGTCAGGAGTATGTAATGTACAGCAAAGTATATAGTGCAGGGGTCAGGAGTATGTAATGTGCAACATATAGAATATATAGTGCAGGGGTCAGGAGTATGTAATGTACAACATAGAGTATATAGTGCAGGGGTCAGGAGTATGTAATGTACAACATAGTAGTATATAGTGCAGGGGTCAGGAGTATGTAATGTACAACATGGAGTGTATATAGTGCAGGGGTCAGGAGTATGTAATGTACAACATAGAGTATATAGTGCAGGGGTCAGGAGTATGTAATGTACAACATAGAGTATATAGTGCAGGGGGTCAGGAGTATGTACTGTACAACATAGAGTATATAGTGCAGGGGTCAGGAGTATGTAATGTACAACATAGAGTATATAGTGCAGGGGTCAGAGTATGTAATGTACAACATAGAGTATATAGTGCAGGGGTCAGGAGTATGTAAAATGTACAACATAGAGTATATATAGTGCAGGGGTCAGGAGTATGGTATGTAATGTACAACATAGAGTATATAGTGCAGGGGTCAGGAGTAATGTAATGTACAACATAGAGTATATATAGTGCAGGGGTCAGGAGTATGTAATGTACAACATAGAGTATATAGTGCAGGGGTCAGGAGTATGTAATGTAAACATAGAGTATATAGTGCAGGGGTCAGGAGGATGTAATGTACAACATAGAGTATATAGTGCAGGGGTCAGGAGTATGTAATGTACAACATAGAGTATATATAGTGCAGGGGTCAGGAGTATGTAATGTACAACATGGAGTATATAGTGTGGGGTCAGGAGTAAGTAATGTACAACATGTAGTATATAGTGCAGGGGTCAGGAGTATGTAATGTACAACATGGAGTATATAGTGCAGGGGTCAGGAGTATGTAATGTACAACATAGAGTATATAGTGCAGGGGTCAGGAGTGTAATGTACAACATAGAGTATATAGTGCAGGGGGAGTCAGGAGTATGTACTGTACAACATAGAGTATATAGTGCAGGGGTCAAGAGGATGTAATGTACAACATAGAGTATATAGTACAGGGGTCAGGAGTATATGTAATGTACAACAGAGTAAATAGTGCAGGGGTCAGGAGTATGTAATGTACAACATAGAGTATATAGTGCAGGGGTCAGGAGTATGTAATGTACAACACAGAGTATATAGTGCAGGGGTCAGGAATATGTAATGTAAAACAGAGAGTATATAGTGCAGGGGTCAGGAGGATGTAATGTACAGATATAGTATATAGTGCAGGGGTCAGGAGCAGATGTAATGTACAACATAGAGTATATAGTGCAGGGGTCAGGAGTATGTAATGTACAACATAGAGTATATAGTGCAGGGGTCAGGTATGTAATGTACAACATAGAGTATATAGTGCAGGGGTCAGAGTATGTAATGTACAACATAGAGTATATATGCAGGGGTCAGGAGTATGTAATGTACAACATAGAGTATATAGTGCAGGGGGGGTCAGGAGTATGTAATGTACAACATAGAGAGGTATATAGTGCAGGGGTCAGGAGTATGTAATGTACAACATAGAGTATATAGTGCAGGGGTCAGGAGGATGTAATGTACAAGTTATATAGTATAGGGGTCAGGACTCACAGTATTAGTATTACGTAATCAGTGGAAGCTTAAATGTTTACTGTAGACAACATGTAGAGGTGAGCTGGGATTAAACCATCATGGAAACAGGTTAGAGGAGTGTGGATGTAGTATACTTGGACAGAGGGGTGGCGGTGGACGTGGTATACTTGGACAGAGGGGTGGCGGTGGACGTGGTATACTTGGACATAAGAGGGGCAGGTGGACGTGGTATACTTGGACAGAGGGGTGGCGGTGGACATGGTATACTTGGACAGAGGGGTGTTGGTGGGACGTGGTATACTTGGACAGAGGGGGTGATGGTGGACGTGGTATACTTGGACAGAGGGGGTGGTGGGACGTGGTATACTTGGACAGAGGGGTGGTGGTGGACGTGGTATACTTGGACAGAGGGGGTGGCGGTGGACGTGGTATACTTGGACAGAGGGGTGGCGGTGGGGACGTGGTATACTTGGACAGAGGGGGTGGTGTGTGGGACGTGGTATACTTGGACAGAGGGGTGGTGGTGGACGTGGTATACTTGGACAGAGGGGGTGGCGGTGGGACGTGGTATATACTTGGACAGAGGGGGTGGGTGTGGTGGACGTGGTATACTTGGACAGAGGGGTGGCGGTGGACGGTGGTATACTTGGACAGAGGGGTGGCGGGGTGGACGTGGTATACTTGGACAGAGGGGTGGCGGTGGACGTGGTATACTTGGACAGAGGGGTGGTGGCTGGTGGACGTGGTATACTTGGACAGAGGGGTGGGGGGTGGCTTGGACGTGGTATACTATTTGGACAGAGGGGTGGTGGTGGACGTGGTATACTTGGACAGAGGGGGGCGGTGGCGGTGGACGTGGTATACTTGGACAGAGGGGTGGCAGTGGACGTGGGTGGACATACTTGGGACACAGTTCCCCACACACGGGCTAATATGTAAGGTAAAGTCTATGGGTGGAGAAATCTGAATGTAAATGGATAGAAAACTGGCTAAAAGATCGTATTCAGAGAGTAGTGGGTAATGATTCATACTCTGGTGACTTGGGTGGTCTGGGGGGGTTATTAGTGGTGGTACCCCAAGGTTCAGTGTTATTAGTGGGGTACCCCAAGGGTTCAGTGTTATTAGTGGGGTACCCCACAGGTTAGTTCAGTTATTAGTGGGGTACCCCAAGGTTCAGTGTTATTAGTGGGGTACCCCAAGGTTCAGTGTGATGGTTAGGGGGTACCCCAGGGTTCAGTGTTATTAGTGGGGTACCCCAAGGTTCAGTGTTATTAGTGGTGGTACCCCAAGGTTCAGTGTTATTAGTGGGGTACCCCAAGGTGTTTTCAGTTATTACAGGGTTCAGTTATTAGTGGGGTGTACCCCAAGGGTCAGTGTTATTAGTGGGGTACCCCAGTGTTAAGTGTATTAGTGGGGTACCCCAAGGTTCAGTGTTTTAATTGGGGGTACCCCAGGGTTCAGTGTTATTAGTGGGGTACCCCAAGGTTCAGTGTTATTAGTGGGGTACCCCAAGGGTTCAGTGTATTATGTGGGGGTACCCCAAAGGTTCAGTGTTATTAGTGGGGTACCCCAAGGTTCAGTGTGATTAGTGGGGGTACCCCCAAGGTTCAGTGTTATTAGTGGGGTACCCCAAGGTTCAGTGTTATTAGTAGGGTACCCCAAGGTCAGTGTTTTTAGTTGGGTACACCCAGGGTTCAGTGTTATTAGTGGGGTACCCACCCCAAGGTTCAGTGTTATTAGTGGGGGGTACCCCAAGGTGTTAAGTAGTACCCCATTAGTGGTGGGGTACCCCAAGGTTCAGTGTTTTTTAGTGGGGTACCCCAGGTTCAGTGTTATTAGTGGGGTACCCCAAGGTTCAGTGTTATTAGTGGGGTACCCCAGGGTTTAAGGGTTTATTAGTTATTAGTGGGGTACCCCAAGGTTCAGTGTTAGTTAGTGTTTAGGGTACACCCAAGGGGGTGTGATTCAGTGTTATTAGGGTACCCCAGGGTTCAGTGTTATTAGTGGGGGTACCCCAAGGTTCAGTGTTATTAGTGGGGTACCCCAAGGTCAGTGTTATTAGTGGGGTACCCAAGGTTCAGTGTTATTAGGGGTACCCCAAGGTTCAGTGTTATTAGTGGGGTACCCCAAGGTTAAGTGTATTAGTGGGGTACCCCAAGGTTCAGTGTTAATTTAGTGGGGGTACCCCAAGGTTCAGTGTTATTAGGGGGGTATTAGTGGGGTACCCCAAGGTTCAGTGTTATTAGTGGGGTACCCCAAGGTTCAGTGTTGGGGACCCTTACTTATTAATATATATATAAAAATATGGGGGGATTGTGAGATTATAAACCCCATTCCAGTCTTTGCAGATGACTCCATGTATAAAGCTGTGGGGGAATAACGTCCTTACAGGATGTCTCTCCAACTTACAAAGGGGGACCTCAATGCTCTCTGTGTAATTGGGGGGGGGGCAAATGAGGGCTAATGGTAATAAATGTAAGGTTCTGCAAGGGGGGGGGGATGGGTATAATACATAAGGGGGGATAAGAATATGCATGTATAATGTAGGGGGGGATACAACATGGGGGGGGGGGGATATGATCATGTATAATACATAAGGGGGGATATGATCTCCATGTATAATACATAAGGGGGGATATGATCTCCATGTATAATACATAAGGGGGGGATATTATCTCCATGTATAATACATAAGGGGGGGGATATGATATCTCCATGTATAATACATAAGGGGGGGATATGATCTCCATGAAGATATATACATAAGGGGGGTATGATCTCCATGTATAATACATAAGGGGGGGATATGATCTCCATGTATAATACATAAGGGGGGGGGATGATCCATGTCCATGTATAATACATAAGGGGGGATATGATCTCCATGTATAATACATAAGGGGGGATATGATCTCCATGTATAAATACATAAGGGGGGGATATGATCTCCATGTATAATACATAAGGGGGGATATGATCTCCATGTATAATACATAAGGGGGGATATGATCTCCATGTATAATACATAAGGGGGGGATATGATCTCCATGTATAATACATAAGGGGGGATATGATCTCCATGTATAATACATAAGGGGGGATATGATCTCCATGTATAATACATAAGGGGGGGATATGATCTCCATGTATATAATACATAAGGGGGATATGATCTCCATGTATAATACATAAGGGGGGATATGATCTCCATGTATAATACATAAGGGGGGATATGATCTCCATGTATAATACATAAGGGGGATATGATCTCCATGTATAATACATAAGGGGGGATATGATCTCCATGTATAAATACATAAGGGGGGATATGATCTCCATGTATAATACATAAGGGGGGATATATGATCTCCATGTATAATACATAAGGGGGGGATATGATCTCCATGTTAATACATAAGGGGGGGGGATATGATCTCCATGTATAATACATAAGGGGGGGATATGATCTCCATGTATAATACATAATAAGGGGGATATGATCTCCATGTATAATACATAAGGGGGGGATATGATCTCCATGTATAATACATAAGGGGGGGATATGATCTCCATGTATAATACATAAGGGGGGATATGATCTCCATGTATAATACATAAGGGGGGATATGATCTCCATGTATAATACATAAGGGGGGATATGATCTCCATGTATAATACATAAGGGGGGATATGATCTCCATGTATAATACATAAGGGGGGATATGATCTCCATGTATAATACATAAGGGGGGATATGATCTCCATGTATAATACATAAGGGGGGATATGATCTCCATGTATAATACATAAGGGGGGATATGATCTCCATGTATAATACATAAGGGGGGATATGATCTCCATGTATAATACATAAGGGGGGGATATGATCTCCATGTATAATACATAAGGGGGGGGATATGATCTCCATGTATAATACATAAGGGGGGGGATGATCTCCATGTATAATACATAAGGGGGATATGATCTCCATGTATAATACATAAGGGGGGATATGATCTCCATGTATAATACATAAGGGGGGGGGATATGATCTCCATGTATAATACATAAGGGGGGGATATGATCTCATGTATAATACATAAGGGGGGGATATGATCTCCATGTATAATACATAAGGGGGGGATATGATCTCCATGTATAATACATAAGGGGGGGGGATATGATCTCCATGTATAATACATAAGGGGGGATATGATCTCCATGTATAATACATAAGGGGGGATATGATCTCCATGTATAATACATAAGGGGGGATATGATCTCCATGTATAATACATAAGGGGGGGGGGGGATGATCTCCATGTATAATACATAAGGGGGGATATGATCTCCATGTATAATACATAAGGGGGGATATGATCTCCATGTATAATACATAAGGGGGGATATGATCTCCATGTATAATACATAAGGGGGGGATATGATCTCCATGTATAATACATAAGGGGGGATATGATCTCCATGTATAATACATAAGGGGGGGGATATGATCTCCATGTATAATACATAAGGGGGGGATATGATCTCCATGTATAATACATAAGGGGGGATATGATCTCCATGTATAATACATAAGGGGGGGATATGATCTCCATGTATAATACATAAGGGGGGATATGATCTCCATGTATAATACATAAGGGGGGGATATGATCTCCATGTATAATACATAAGGGGGGATATGATCTCCATGTATAATACATAAGGGGGGGGATATTCTCCATGTATAATACATAAGGGGGGATATGATCTCCATGTATAATACATAAGGGGGGGATATGATCTCCATGTATAATACATAAGGGGGGATATGATCTCCATGTATAATACATAAGGGGGGATATGATCTCCATGTATAATACATAAGGGGGGATATGATCTCCATGTATAATACATAAGGGGGGGATATGATCTCCCATGTATAATACATAAGGGGGGGATATGATCTCCATGTATAATACATAAGGGGGGGATATGATCTCCATGTATAATACATAAGGGGGGATATGATCTCCATGTATATAATACATAAGGGGGGATATGATCTCCATGTATAATACATAAGGGGGGGGATATGATCTCCATGTATAATACATAAGGGGGGATATGATCTCCATGTATAATACATAAGGGGGGATATGATCTCCCATGTATAATACATAAGGGGGGGATATGATCTCCATGTATAATACATAAGGGGGGGATATGATCTCCATGTATAATACATAAGGGGGGATATGATCTCCATGTATAATACATAAGGGGGGGATATGATCTCCATGTATAATACATAAGGGGGGGGATATGATCTCCATGTATAATACATAAGGGGGGGATATGATCTCCATGTATAATACATAAGGGGGGGATATGATCTCCATGTATAATACATAAGGGGGGGGGATATGATCTCCATGTATAACATAAGGGGGGGGGATATGATCTCCATGTATAATACATAAGGGGGGGGATATGATCTCCATGTATAATACATAAGGGGGGATATGATCTCTCCATGTATAATACATAAGGGGGGGATATGATCTCCATGTATAATACATAAGGGGGGATATGATCTCCATGTATAATACATAAGGGGGGATATGATCTCCATGTATAATACATAAGGGGGGGATATGATCTCCATGTATAATACATAAGGGGGGGATATGATCTCCATGTATAATACATAAGGGGGGATATGATCTCCATGTATAATACATAAGGGGGGGATATGATCTCCATGTATAATACATAAGGGGGGATATGATCTCCATGTATAATACATAAGGGGGGATATGATCTCCATGTATAATACATAAGGGGGGGATATGATCTCCATGTATAATACATAAGGGGGGATATGATCTCCATGTATAATACATAAGGGGGGGGGATATGATCTCCATGTATAATACATAGGGATATGATCTCCATGTATAATACATAAGGGGGGGGGATATGATCTCCATGTATAATACATAAGGGGGGATATGATCTCCATGTATAATACATAAGGGGGGATATATGATCTCCCATGTATAAT